CATCTGTTCATTTCTTTTGTATGTCCGACGATCAAAAGACCGCTTGGGATCGAGTCTGTTTATAATTTGAAAAGTAATCTTGTCAGTTGTATATACAAAAGGTAAATTGTTTACAAAATGAGTCTTTGTTTATCTGATAAATGTATACTTTTTTCGTCAATTGTTCATGATTGCAGATGCCTTTTGTGTAAAATCCAAGTCGGATGTATGTAAGCTAATAAATGTTCTCGTTAATCTTATTTCGCCTTTTGGTTCGTTCACAGTTACAAGAAATCACCACATAGTCTCTCAAGTCTCCGTAGATATAACAAACAGAAATAAATTACACAAAATAAGTTGTGGCTATGCGTTGATTTCGCACGACACGTTCGAACACGTAAGCTGAACAATAGTGTGGGGGGAGTGAATAATCAAGAGTTGCGTGGCGCTCAAACAAAAGACGAATCAACGAGATTTGAAAATTGCGTAACTCCAGGTTCGCATAAGTCGGGGTATGACTGTACTTTCTTACTACATTTATTTATACGTAATAATAAAAATACATACATACAGTCTTGCATTTTTATTAGTCATGTTTTTTCTATTTGTAGGGGTTAAAGAATCTGTCTAATGTTGATTGCTTTTCTCTCTTCTTCAGGATTTTCCAGAAGTAATTAATAGCATTGTAATTGTAGAGATCCCCAAGTCTATTAACCTCAACCTGGTTTGGATGCCATTCTAAGACCATTGTTCTGACATCATACCACTTCTTCAAAAGATCTTTAATAGCTGATATCAGCATTAATCCTCTCTTTCAGAAGAAATCATATCTCGCCAAGTTTCTTGGTGTTCCTCATTGAAGAATTTTTAGCATTCTTCTGTCATTGGATCCATTTTAGGTTCTATTATGAGCTGTTCAATGTTTATTTCTCAGATGTGATTTTTGTTACTCCTTTAGCTGCTTGAGTCTTCTTGATTATACAGTATCTTTCTTAGATAAGATTGAACTGCAGTCTACTATAGACCTGTTCAAACTATATTGCCCAGCAACATCAGGCATTTTCTGCCCACTATTATACTCTCACCTTTTGAAAATAAAAACAGGTGCAAAATGAGTGCCTGCCTGACAGTCTCGTGAATAATATAAAAGAATTGTTTCTGTCAGAAAAATAAAAGGCTGGAATTACAAGGGAGAGTTTCAAAGTTTGGAGGACGACTATCCAATCAGTATGTACTGGGTTGAGCATCGATGTCGACATCTCCCGACACTCTGAAAAGTTTCAAATTGTTGCCTGAAGACAAGGGAAGATCAATCAGTATTCATTATTTTACTTTGTTTCTTCTTGTGTTTGTTCTGTGAGGTGTTTGTTGTCCAAACATGTGTTCATTGTCCAAACATAAAAATCTTTTGTGAAAGTGTTCATTATCTGATTTGTTCATTAACTGATCATCCACTTTATTTAAATTGTTTAATTTCATTATTTAAGTTTATAAAAAATAAAAAAAATTATTTTTTCTTTAAATTACAGATATTTTAATATTACTCTAATAAATTACAAATAAATTTGTAAAGATCACTTATTTTTAAAATGCATTTGTTTTTTAAATTTTATGTTTCAACAGTCAGATATTACAATAGTAAAAG